TCCAGCTCTGGAGCCCTCAGCATAAGAAAGACACGGACCTGTTGGAGCAGGTCCAGAAGAGGGCCACGAAAGCGATCAGGGGGATGGAACAGCTCTCCTATGAAGAAAGGCTGAGAGAGTTGGGGTTGTTCAGCCTAGAGAAGAGAAGGCTTCGGGGAGACCTTCTTGCAGCCTATCAGTACTTAAAGGGGGCTTATAAGAAAGATGGCGGCAGACATTTTAGCAGGGCCTGTTGTGACAGGACAAGGGGGAATGGCTTTAAATTAAAGGGGGGTAGATTGAGACTAGATATAAGGAAGAAATTTTTTACGCTGAGGGTGGTGAAGCACTGGAACAGGTTGCCCAGAGAGGTGGTGGATGCCCCATCCCTGGAAACATTCAAGGTCAGGTTGGACGGGGCTCTGAGCAACCTGATCGAGTTGAAGATGTCCCTGCGCACGGCAGGGGGGTTGGACTAGATGACCTTTAGAGGTCCCTTCCAACCCAAACTATTCTATGATTCTATGATTCTATGACATACTGATGGGAGAGTACTCCCTGTCCCTGGGAAAGCACTGGAATCTGAAACCTGAAGTCAAGAGACAAGATTTGATTCTGGGACTTGGACAGTTTCAACACAAACTAGAGTTAAGTTTAACTTTACGTTCTGGTCTGGTATGTATGACATAATGTATTTTATGATACACAATTGCAATGCAGAAAATCATCTAACAGAATAAAGCAAATAATTTTAAACAAATGTATTACAGGGATTTCTATCCTTAATTCAACCTTAATTTCAACAATGAAACTGCTGACAGTAAATCAGACACAGATGTGGAAAGTCCTTCCTCTAATTTTTACTGAGTGTGGATGATAATTACTGGAAACAAAATGGTATTCACACACCATTTGTTGCACTACCAAGCAGACTTGTATTTCTGTCGTTATACTGAAAATTAACATATTCTTGGAACATACATATGTATAAATTGCAAAGAAAAGTCAGTCTTTTCTGATGCCTATGGCAGCACAGGATAGGTAGAAAGGTTCATTTTAAGCATTCTCTTTCTCAGAGGAATAGTCATGTGCATAAGAACAGAACAATCTGGTTTTTGACAAAACCTTTGCTCTGCTAAAGGAAATAGAAAATTTTCTTTTGATTTCAGTGAGTCAGGACAACATGCTAGTGTGCTTGCCTTTAATGATTTCCTATATATCAGCTTATCACAATTTTTTAATCTTTAAATATTGCAAAGTTATACAATTTTAAAGCCAAATATCACACTTTCACATGGAAACACCAGGAGATAAAAGAAGTAAACAGGTTTTAATCTATTAAAACACACTGAGACCCAGATCTTGGCCCCATTCAAGTTTTTCTTTGGATGTCAGTGGAACGAAAACCAAACCATAAAGATTAAAAAAAATAAAATAAAGATTTTTTCCTTATGGCTTAAATAGCTTAAATAAAGTAATTCTAAGTATAATTTTTATATTTTAAAATATATTTTATCCAAATTTATTTTTACAAATACCTAAAAAGAATAGTTTAATTTTTTTTTAAATAAATTCTTATAATGGGTTATAAAAATTATGTGAACTATACCTGTTATCGCTCAGATTCAACACTCTCAGCTTCTGCATCTGACCAATTTCATCAGGAAGAAATTCTAGCTTGTTAGAGCGCAGAGACATCACTGTTACATTTTTACAGCTTCCAATCTATAGGAATGAAAAATGAAAGATGTTAGGATACCTACTTTGATAAAATTCATTATCACCAACTTTTTATGTCAGGAGGTGGCCAAATTGTGGTTTTTACTATAACTGACAAAAAGCAGAAAATACAGAATCTAAAGTCAGAAAATAAAGCCCTCACTTTGTCAGTAACATCAGGGAAATGCCTAGGGCTACCTGCACTACTCTTCTGAGTGATACTCTCACCTTTACATGAATTTACTAATTTACTGGTTTTACTGTTTTACTATTGAGTATGTAAGAAAGATTTGGGCTTCCACATCATGCAGAAACAATTAACAGGTATTTTGTCTGAGTAGGGACGAAATCTTGGGCCTACCACAAAACATTTCAATCTGTAATTTAAAAACAGAATCAGCTTCTCACTTCTCTGGGCAGTTCAGGAAGGAAATTCTCATCCACAGCCAATGTCCTCAGGTTATGAAGGTAGCCGATGGTAGAAGGCAAGGACTCCAACTCATTACAGCTGCAGTCAAATTCTTCTAATAAAGATAAACTGAAATTGTAAATATACTTGTTAGATGCTATGCAAGGACTAGATAACAAAAATTAACAATCTAAAACCTTTGAAAGTTTTAAAGCATCATACTACTACATACATCATGCCCTGAAGAGGGAACCTTTATTGCAGATTTCCCTAGGAGAACTCTATAATAATATGATTACAGGAACTATTAGGGACAGTGTTAATCAATCTTATCCAGTAAGGCAGTTTAAGAAAGACCACTTAGTTTCCCCACATTATTATTCTTACTTTTTGTAATGAGGAAGTATTCAAGGTACTTCAAACAGTGATCAGGGCAATTCATACTAAGCTGAAGAATCAAACAAAAAAATTTATAATCTTAACATACAAAGACAGATAACAGGTAAAGAAATACCGCTGGTGAGAGTAAAGGGAAGGGAAGCGGAAATTGCCTCCAGGGTACATTCCAACTGATGCACTTGACATCATTTCTAATAGAGATCAGTAGTGAAAAAAGATGAACTTGGATCCAAACTCAGCAAATTAATCCCAGCCTGTCGTAGTCAGACACAGCTTTTGTAAAAGTGCTTACTTTCACATGTTGAGAAAGCTGGCTAAAAAGTGATCTTTGAAAGGGTATCTGTTTGGCAAGGACTGAAACAAAGCAGACCAAAGTAAGTAATCTTCTGACACTCAAGTTCTCTCTTTAAAAAAAATGAAATAACTTCCATTTCAGTCTTCTCCCTTTTCCTAGATTGTTGTATTCTGTCAAGTTGTGAAAAGAAAGAGACCTGACCTTTCCTCCACATAGTCATGTTTTCAGGAAAGAGGATGAAATAGAGACAGCTGACAGAAACTCCCCTGTTGAACTGAAGTCCGGGTTAGCCATAGCCCACAGTACCAGAGAGCAGTATGTATAGAGAAAGCACAGCTTCCTAGTGCACGGAACTGGCATTCAGTACATTCCTGCATTTTATTATCCACGAAGAGGTTATGAAATGAGTTGGAGGTTTTGTACCGAGTGCTAAACGAAAGGGGCCCACATCGTAAAAGCCGCCACCTTCTCTGACAGCAGCTGGCACCTATGCAGAATGAAAGCCAAGGAAACGCCAAGAGAGCTGACCCAATGCAGAGCGCTGACAGTCAGCACTTGAACCTCCCCACCCACCACCGCTCTGGTACAAAATGGGCTTCAGAGGCATTTTTCTGCTCTTCAGGACTCTGTCCTAGCCAGTCACACAACCCTCAGGACTCTTTTGATTGTTTGCTTTTCCCTGAAGACAGCAGGTGGTATCAGGCAACTCTTAAACATAAATCTTACTTTGGTGATTAAGAATCAACAATTTGACCTTTGCTAGTGCAAATAACACAAACAGGAATATATATGTAATACATGTTATATAGAGACATATATATAAATGTATACATATTACATATATATTATGCACATATACACACATACGTAAAAATATTCTGAAGAAATATCTACTGCATCTCTTAAAAAATTAGGCTGGATATAAAAATTCTTGAAATGAATGCTGGACTACACTGCTCATTCAGCTCACGGAATAAAAGTTTTGTGACCCTTTACAAATGCCATCGCTCCCTGCTTCTGCTGCCCCTTTTTTGCTCCACAGGTGCTACTTTTTTCTCTCAAGTGCTTTAATTAATTGTAAGGTTAAATGGCAAGCAGTTATTTCTTCCTCAACATTTGTCATCTCTCTCTCTTCTGACGAAGGGACTAGGTGCCCAGAAGATTGTCTGGGTTTTTTCCAAATGTTTTGGTAGATCTGATAAAAAGTTTACCTCTGCTACAAACCTTGCTCCTTAGTATTTATATGAGGAGGCTGCAGGACTGGACCTTCACTGTATGGCTAACTTACCTTTATTCCAGTTTCTTAATTAAAAAAAGGTCTTTCAGCCTTCAAATTTTATGAAATGTGAAACCAGAAATAGCTATTCCTAACATGGAATTCTCAGAACTTTCCTCTAATTGCTGTATTTCAGTAGACTGAAAAGCCAAAGTGAGTCATACAGTGATTAGTGAAAGATGCATGGAATATATCCAAAAGCTCTGCCAGGCTTGGCTATAGCTTTTCTTTAATACAAGCTTTGCATCCACCACAATTTATTTCAAACTAGATACAAAACAATTTCAGTAAAGGCAAAATTCAGTCATGTTTACCTACTTCATACAGAACATGTGCTTGACAGGGCGAAGTCCAACTGAAAAGCTTGTTAAATTGCAAGATGCACACATTCTTCATTTTACCGATGATAACACAACCAGAAAAGCTTGAAAATAGATAAGCTAATTGAGAACTACTATGTTTCCAATGGCAATTGGAAAATCTGATACTCTGAACTGTAACTGTGGAAGTTTCCCTGTCAGTGAAGAATGACTTTATCAGACAACAGAATTTTACTTGAAAGGTATTGTCTGGCACAGACATTCTCAGCTTCTTTCGTTCCTGAGGACATCAGCAGCAGACAAATGAAGATGGCCACAATAAAAACAACAAAGTCAGTGTGAAACTATATTTTATCTCTATAATGACCATGGTTAAAAAAATATGCACTTCAGAAAGTGCCTTTTCATTCATCATGGATTGTGCATGGAAGTAAGTTGACAATAGCAGCTATAATTCCAACAATGCTAATTTAGCTAAAATACCATTAACGTCACTGTCTTCTTGGGCTAAATTCAGATCATTCTTGATAGGTTTAAAGAAAGGCAGACAAAAATAGGGTATGCACCTGCTGTTCAGTTTGGCACCCACTGAAATGAGGCAGTTCACAGTACATGTTGTAAGGTAGATGAGGAGTATTTTTAGACAGATTAGTAGAGACAGATTCATGGAGAATGAAGACTGCCATGAATAAAAGAGTAGTTCCAACCCATCTCAGCCCCATTTCATACAGTCCCAGCCCTTTTCTCCCAACAGCCACAGCACCCAGATAACTGCCAAAGAAGCCTAAATCCTAAGAGTTAGCTATACTCAACTATTTGTCCAACATCAGGCAAAAGGAATTTTGCAGACCCAGGAATACAAGTTTACACTTTCCTTTGCAGCATCTGATACTGTCAGATATGGTATAGACTAGACACATGCACAAAACACTCATCTAATACACGGGCTCTTGAGCTACTGCACCATTACCTATGTATGGGTCACGACTTCCCTCGTGACACCTTCCTACCCACGAAGTGGGAACATGGGCATTCACTCAGGTCCTACAGATACAATCTCCAGTCTTTGGGTCCAATTTGGTACTTAATCAATGTGAATCCACTGATTTTATGAGGAATGTTTTATTAAACTGGGTCTACTGCGCACAGGATCTTGCAGGGTCAAACTCTAAATGCCACTTACAGGCTTGCCCTTTGAACAGGACTGCCAAAAATGAGGGTGGCGGTTCACTATTAGCAACATCGACTCAGACAGTGTTGAAGTGCTCTGTGTCTCATCATGAAATTGGTCCCTGGAGGGAGAGTTCCCTCCTCCACATTGCTAATCTTTGTGTGACAATAATATACTCTGCAGTGGGTACTACAACTATCATTTAGGAGAAGGAGACCCAGTAGGAAACTATCCAAATGGATGAGTCAGAGAAAGTAAGTTCATTTTAATGTGGGAGACACTGTCCTCATTAAATGAGAGAAAGTACTTCATTTAAAAAGCACAACCAATCACTCAAAAATAATGTGATAATATTAGGTGATTAGCCTACTGCTCTGCATATAGACCACTTAGAGCAGCAGTATACATGTTTAAAAATGTAATTAAGGCTCCATGACAAACAATACTGAACAGATATTAGGTTAAAAAAAAAAGAGGGCTTCCCCTTCAATTTGAAAAATTCAATAAATATGAAAGCACCTTCATGACAGGTTTTAAAAATTGACCCCAAAAATTGTTAAAGATAATGTTGGACATTATATCAACCTTTTTTCAGAGTGTCCAGTACAGCTTTGAGCCTTATGAGCTTTCACTGCCTATCAGAATTTATTGCTACACAATGGTTATAAGATTTCACCTTTTGTGATTCGTATAACCAACTTTTAATACTCTCCACGAGTATCACATAAATCTAAAGATACTACAAGAAGTACAGCATGGAAAGCCAAACCTGAGCTACAAGTTGCTACAGTTGTAATAGTTCACAAATTCGGATTTTTTTTTCCTGACTGGCATAACAATAACTAAATTATTATTGAAATTATTACTATAAAATGGGTGCATGAGTAGTAAAGCACTGGCTGTGCAGGTTGGAGATTATTTCTATTCTAGAGACCTCACTGTACTATCATATTTGTGGACAAGTCTAAATGAAGCCTTCTAGGCTTTAATTTTGGAAGCCTCAGAACAGCTCTGGTTTAAGAAAACTACTTTTAATGAAATAGT